AAGAATTAATACGTGTGATCAACCATTTCCCTTTCCTACTCCTGCCAACCCTTTCCCTTTCAAGACAGTTTGGTGTACACACATTCCCTCCAGAGTTTGTTTTTTTGTGTGGGAAGCTAGTCTGAAGAAGATCAACACTTAGGATCTCCTCCAGAAAAAGAACCAAGGAAGGTCCTATATATCCCCATATGTATGCTGTTTGTGCTTAAAAGCCGGGGAATCAGCCAATCATATTCTGATCCACTGTGAGGAAACTAGAAAATTCTGGATTTTCTTTCTCAATCTTTTAAATTTTAGTTGGACTTTCCCTGAACATGTGATAAACTGTCTCAGACAATGGACAGCAAGAGGGTTAAGTAAAAGAGGAAGGACTTTATGGATTTCCGTAACACATGCAATCCTTTGGAGCATCTGGGAAGAGAGAAATAACCGAATTTTCAACAACAGAAAAAGAAACCTTGAGGAGCTTTTGTCTACTATACCATATAGAATTTTCCTTTGGACTTCCAACTCAGAGTTTTTTAAAGGAGTTTCCTTTTCTGATCTTCAAAGAAATACTGCAGGTTTTTTGTTTTCTAAACACCAGTCCTTAATCACCCCTCTCCCCCACTCTTCTGTGGTGAAGGGGAGATAACCATGCACTTTGATGGAAGTGTGTTTGGAAACCCAGGTGCAGCAGGAGTTGGTGGAATTTTTAGAAGAAGAGATGGTACAGTTATTTGGGCTTTCAGTGGACCGATAGGGATAGCCTCTTCAACAAAGGCTGAAATTATGGCAGCACTAACCGGAATCAGGATTGCAAGAGATCTGGACTCTCAGAACATTATCATAAAAGGAGATTCAGCAAATACCATCAAGTGGCTTGCTGACTCTGGCAGTGGTCCATGGGCTTTAGCGCATTTCTTGGCTGAAGCTAGAGATATCAAATTTAACTTAAATGCACAGCTGGGTTGGATCCCTAGGGAGCTAAACTCTGATGCGGATGGTCTAGCAAAAGCTGGTGTTCACAGGGATTTCATGTTTAGTGATAGCTTTCTTCCTACTTAACTGTTGAGTTGTAATCTCTGTGTACATCTTCTTATGTACCCACTTTTCATTAATAAAGTTACCATCTTTTTCAAAAAAAATCAAAGAAAGAAGCCTTTTTGGTGCTTGTCCCCGAACTGTTGTACCCTTTGTAAAGCCAATGGTGAGTGTTGCTTTCACTTACTAATATCCTGCCCCTTTGCTTCTTCTATTTGGGAGTGATTTCTCTCTTTATTTGGTTGTAGGTGGACTCCCCCAGCATTAAAAGCATCTTCATCTATTCTATTGGTAGCTGGATCATAAAGAGGGGAAGAATCCTATGGAGGTGCACCAAGGCAGCGGTTTGTTGGACAATTTGGGAGCAAAGGAACCAAAGAATATTTGCTGAAAAAGAAAGAAGTAGAGAGACAATTATAGAGATGATTACTTTGAGGGTGGCCCAGTGGGTAAAGACAGTGAACATATTTGATGACGTTCCCCCAGAGACCATTGTGAACAACTAGCAGGAAATAGCAGCCTCAGCTCCAAGCATAATCATCATCCATCCTCCGTGGCATCTCCCAACAGAAGGCTTTATCAAGCTCAACTTCGATGGGAGCAATGAAGGAAATCCAGGGCCACCAGGGGTTGGTGGTGTTTTCAAATTGGAGGCAGGTTCAGTAATAACTCTTTTTTCAAGACCAATTGGATTCAGGGATTCACTGAGAGCAGAAATTCTGGCTTTGTTAGAGGGGATGAAAAGGGCTAAGGAACTAAATATAAACAGGTTCATCGTTGAAGGAGTTTCACAAGTGGTAATTGGCTGGATAGAGAAGGCAAATAATAGGTTATGGACATACATTAATGCAGTGGGTTAAAAGATATGCCAATTCATTTGCAGACGACTGGCCAAACAGGGAGTGGGAAGAAGTCATTTGTTTTGGGCAACATTGTAATTTTCTCTTTGGGGGAGAGTTAGGAGAGTTTACCTCCCCCCACCCAAATTTAAATCTTTTCTATACTTAATTAATGAAAGTTTTCTGTTATTGATAAAAAAAAAGTTGAAGTGTCACTTTAGGGAGGACAAACCAAGGTTGAAGACGACATTGATGTGGCAGGCTGGTGTACAAGTGGCACACAAGCGTTGGTGAAAAAGAATGGGAAGCAAGGAAAGTTTAAGAAGGAAGTTGAACAGTCTTTGGAGGAAAACCAAATGACAAGTAAACCATTTAGTAGAAATGAATTCAAATGTTTTTGAATTAAAGGAAAAAGAAGCGGGCAGATTATCCTTTGCTGATGTGGCTAGGAGATGAATTAAAGGAAATGAATTCTAATGTCCTTATTTATTTATTCTTGTTCTGATAACACTAACCCTCTTTTTTTATCAATAATAACACTAACCCTCTTCCTATTAGTAGTTTGACAAAATCCTTGAATTATTGCATAACCTTCCTTCTTGTTGTGTTTTTCAGGACTTGAAGTCCTAGAGGATGGCTTTTTTTTTTGATAAGCAACAAAGGGAAAATATTCATTAAACACAAATCTTCACACAAAAAGTACAGCCAAAAAAGTGTACAATGCTGGACCTCCCAAGAGGCCATCCACAGCTGACAACAGAGAAAAAATAAAATACAACAACAGCAAAAACATAACTGATATTAACATTACTAGGCACCCATTTGAATGAGGCATTTAAATCAGCACCTAGAGCTTCAGCCATTCTGACTAAAGGTCTGAACTTCAAAGGAATTTGGTCTTGCCTTGCCGTCTATCCTAAAACCATTTGACAGTCACTTCAAACCCTGAACCAAGGCCAAAAGCTCAGCTCTAGAAAAATTTCCCTGTCCTACCAGACCTGAAAAGCTTAGTATGATACTGCCCTCATGGTCTCTAACAAGTGTAACAACTCCTCCCCCCCCCCCCGAGAGCCATGGGCTTCCAAGGCTGCAACCATCAAAATTGAGTTTGAGCACCTCTAGATTAGGAAGGGACCAATCTACCATCCTCTGTCACCCTTGAAAATCCCTGCACATCACACCCAAGTGAGCTACCCTTACCTTGGTAAGTTCAAACACTTCCTCTACAAGTTTGCATTTTTCTTCAAAAATTCTCGCATTTCTTTCACACCACAAACCCCATAGCACCGCACCGTGAATGCATTGCTAAACAATCTTTTGTCTTTGAGTGGAGCCACCAAAAACATCTTATTTGAATAGATCTACTACTGCATCTCGTGCCACCAAGTTTTTCCACAAGTGAGAGGAAAAGCTGCCATAGCCTAGAAGCATAGGGACATTGTAACAGTAGATGGTTAGTATTTTCTCCTCTCTTCAGGCAAAGAGCACACACATGAGGAGAGAGAGCCCAATTTTGGAGCCTCTCATGGGTGTTGATGATTTGGTTAACAGCCTCCCAACAAAAAACCTTTACTTTAGGGGGGACCGGGCAACACCATGCCTCTTTAACCGGGAAAGGCTAAGCTTCTGTAATGGGAAGTAAGGATTGAAAAAAGGAGGCACACATGAAACAACCATTTGTATTAGGGGTCCAAATTCTCTCATCATTCCCTGATGAAAACAAAACAAAGTTTTCAAGTAGAGTTACAAGAAAAACCAGCTCATTTGTTTCTAAATCCCTTAAAGGCCTTCTTAAACCCAAATCCCAAGCTAAACCATTCTCTCCAAAGGAAATCAAATCCGCAATTGAACTATTTTTAAAGTTGAGCAGCCTATAAATTCTCGGAAAGGTTTGACAAAAAGGAGAGTCCCCCCCCCCCCCAAGTATCTTCCCAAAACTTTCCACTTCACCCTGAAACTATATCATACCTTATGTTTTGCATGAAAGTAGGCAATAGAGTCAGATTTGGCTTCTAGGGGCTTCTCAAAGTTGCTCCCCTAACAGGCACTGAGTCCCAACTATTTGGGTGCAACCCATAGATGCTTTTGATCATTTGATCACCAAATGCCATAAAGCCTCTCTTTCCTTTTGGGAACCTCCACAACCATTTCCCTAACAAGGCCATTTTTTTTCTTGAATCCTACCAATTCATAAACCTCCATAGTCCATGCTCTTTAGAAATGCTTACATTTTTCCAGTTCAACAAATGACTATTCTTACTATCTCCCAGATCCCACAAGAACCTGGAGCCCTAAACACAAACAAAAAATAGAGTGGGAGGTTAGACAAAGTAGATTTTATTAAAATGACTCTCCCCTTTGGATATGTAGTTTTTTTTCCAGGACGCCAACCTTTTCCCAAACCTTTCAATAACGCTCTCCCAGAAAGTCTCCTCATTAGGTTGCCTCCTAAGGGCAATCCTATATATTTAATTGGCACTCCTTCACGTCACATCCCAACACTTTCACACACTCTTCCAGCTCCACCCTCTCCACGCTAAGGCCCACCGAACTACATTTCCTCAAATTGACTTTCAATCCTAGACTCTCTTAACTAGTTCTAAAATCGTTTTCAAAGTCCCAAGTCCTAGAATATCGTTTTCAAAGTCCAAGTCCTAGAAGATGATTGGGAGTGGTCATGAGGCAAATGGGATATACTATCAAGTATATCCCAAACAAGTCCATGTTAGAGCCTTAAATTCTCAACACCTAAAAAAAATGATTTTATAATTTTAATTGCCTTTTAAAATATCTTATAACCCCCTATTTGTTAATTTTGTTCATTCATTTATCCTAATAAAAGATATTTTAAAAGACAATTAAAATTATAAAATCATTTTAACTTCAACTTGCAAAGTCATCCTTTCTTCCTTGATCTTCTCATCTCTTAAACATACTCATTAGTAATTAAAATTTGATCAATAATCTATCTCCCACGGATGAAGGCCCCTTATTGTGCTAGGTTATCAAAGGGAGGATTTCTTTTTAAGCCTCAATGCCAAATTAACCATGCGTTACCACCATTAAAGTTAAAAAGGAAAAATTGGGCATTCATATCCAAAATGAAAAGCAGAGAGAGAGAGAGAGAGAGAGAGAGAGACCAGGGAGAACAGGCCGAAGATTAACCATAGCGTAGGAGAGCTGGGTAGAGTAGAATACTTCTTTCTGGTGTATTTTATACGGCCCAAACGTATAATTCTCCGATTCCATCTGTTTAAAATTGCGCACAAGTGGTTAGTGAATGCGGAGGAGAGAGTGGGAAATGAAATGAAAGGATGTCTTTCCGTTTCCAGAGCATTTACTTTGCCTTACCTTAGTTGGAATGCAACACGATGCAGCAGTTCTGCTTGTAGGTGACAAATGAAGGCTGCTGCTTCTGGCGATGGCGAGACAGGTGAGACTGGTAGAAAGCGATTTGTTGATGGAAAATGATGTAGTAATGAACCCTTTTGAACACAGAAGCAGCAACTGCTTTATCATTCTTGGAATAACAGATTATTCACAAAAACACAGAGCACTTATTAGTCGAAGAAGGAATCACGCATTCACACAAAGCCCACTAACCTGTTCGGTTTCTCGTCGGACAGAGAGATTAGCACCGTCAGTCTCGTCACTGCCACCGGGTTTTTTCTGGATGAGGATCGAGGAACTCCTTGGAATTTGGGCCCGATGTCCTAGACTTCAAGTGCCTTACGGCCCAGCCCGATCTATAAAATCTCTATATATTACCCTTAGATGCTGGAGTGGACTGTTCATCGGCCGAGAGCCGGGCCGGGCTATATACCTCCAAACCTAAACGAACCAAACTGAATTTGATGATTTGATCTGGATTTAGAAACGGTCTGATTCGATTTAAGATATTTTAAAATTCTTTTTTGAAAGATATTTCAGATTTCAGTTTACAGCTTGGGGTTGGTTTTAATATTAAACCAAGTGATGATGCGCATTTTGGCAGCTCCCCGGCGGGCGGGTGACTCGGATGCCTGGCTGAATAATTCCTACCTGGAATGTGGCTTGGATGCCTAGCTGAATGGTTCCTACCTGGAAGGTGGCTTAGACGCCAAGCTAAATGGTGACAAGCTGTAGAGGTGGCTCTGATGCCTAGTTAAATGGTGACGAACTGGAGAGGTGGCTCTAATGCCTAGATAAATGGTAACGAGCTGGAGAGATGGCTCTGTTGCCTAGCTGAATGGAGACGAGTTAGAGAGGTGGCTCTGATGTCTAGCTGTGTGGTGACGAGCTGTAGAGGTGGCTTTGATGTGACCTGCAAGGACACAGTGTCAGAGTGCCTGGGTTGCTTTACCCGGGGTGGGCACTCCAATGCTTAAGTTAGCAAATCAGAGATTTTAAGATAGCTAAATGTGAGAGAGTTGGAGAGCTGCAAGAACTAAATTGCGCATCTCCCCTTGGAGTTGGAGGTAAGGCCTTTATATAGGCATTGTTTGGCGTGAGCATCACGCAACACGTCCTGCATCTCCAGGAGGACGTGCCTAACTGCTTCGAAGTCCTCAGAGGTAGTCGTGCACGTAGGCCAATCTTTGCGCCTTACTCGATTTCTCCCAAAACATTCAGTGTGAGAGCTGATTTTCAAGAGACCCGGGAGTGATGGGATGCATGCAGAAATCGACGGTGAGCATGTCTCATAGGTCACCACTTGGACCTCAATCAGGTCGGCAAGCCCTCGAGGGAGGTCGCTCCCCACATCGAGGTCGCTTCATCCGATACTGGCGAGGTACCACAGATCAGCCCTAGACAAGGTGCTGCTAGTCGCCCTGAGTCGTGGATGAGGTCGCTGGCTAGGTTTCTACTAGGTTGGGGGTGGAGGCGGGTCGCCAGGTCAGCGCTAGAGGCAGGACTTCAAGTCAGGGGTGGAGGTAGGTCGCCAGGTCGGCGCTAGAGGCAGGATGCCAAGTCAGCGGTGGAGGCAGGTCGCCAGGTTGGCGCTAGAGGCTGGTTGCCAAGTCGGTGGTGGAGGCAGGTCGCCGGGTCAGTGCTAGAGGCAGGTTGCCAAGTCAGCGGTGGAGGCAAGTCGCCAGGTCGATGCTAGAGGTAGGTCACTAGGTCGGTGCTAGAGGCAGGTCGCCAGGTCGACACCAGGGGCAGGTCACCAGGTCGGTGCTAGAGGCAGGTCGCCAGGTTGGCACTAGAGGCAGGTCGCCAGGTCGGTGCCAGAGGCAGGTCGCCAGGTTGGCGACAATGCCAGGTCGCTAGCTGGGACTCCATCATTTTGGCTAAGGCAAGTTGTCGCCTAGGTGGTTCTGGGTGTCACCCAGTTGTTCCAAGATGCCATGTGTCATGATGTTAGTGGAGGGCCAAATCTGCCCTCATCAATTGCTCCCCACTCCTGATCTGAGATCAGCTCAGCGAAGGGAGTAGATTTGTGCTTCATTGTAGGTCCTTAGGCTTGTTACCAACATATTTTGAGGTCAGCTTAGGGGTCCTTGATGCCGAAGGCTGTTTGGCTTCCCCTTGTGATATGTGCATCGACGTTGGAATTTAAATAGTGGGTTGGTGCCACGGCTGCGTTGTATTAGTCTTTTAAGGTGTTGGTCGTCTACTCCTATGATAAGCCACAAGGAGCTCAACCTGCGGGGGCAGCTTTACAAACTACAAGTTGTCAGCTCGCATGAGAACCTTTAAAGGATCAAACCGCAAGGGCGATTGTAGTATGTTGGTCGCCGACTCCTGCGGGAGCCACAAAGGGCTCAACCTGTAGGGGCGACATCACAAACAGGGCTGACAAGACTCATCCAGGCTGATTACGTGTATCGCTAGGTCGGCGAAAGCAGGATGCCAGTTCAGAGGCAAGTCTCTAGGTCGCTAGGTCGTCAAAATTTTGACAGTCTAGTTTTTCTCTCAGCACCTCATCCTACAGACACCTTGTCACCTTAGCAAGACTGACCTACGAGGGCGGCTCCACAACCTGTTGGCCATCAACTCTCACGTAAAGCATGGAGGGCTTGATCTGTGGCGCGACCTCACAGTTTGTTGGCTATCAACTCCCACGGGAACCATGGAGGGCTCAACCTGTGGGGTGGCCTCACATTCTATTGTCCGTCAACTCTCGCAAAGAGCACGTAGAGCTCAACATATGGGGGTGGCCTCACAGTTAGGGAGATTCTGTCAGGGCAAGACTACGAGAACACGTCTGGGCTAATCATTTTGCTTCTGCCCCCCTAGGGGGTTCTTTCAATCAAGCGTTGTTGTTGTTGCTTGAAGATGTTATTACTTGAGGCTTAGAGAATCGGGTGAGAAAATAGCCTTTTGTAGTGTTTCCCACAGACGACGCCAATTGATGATGCGCATTTGTTGGCAGCTCCCCGGCTAGCAGGTGACTCGGATGCCTGGCTGAATAATTCCTACGTGGAATGTGGTTTGGATGCCTAGCTGAATGGTTCCTACCTGGAAGGTGGCTTAGACGCCTAGTTGAATGGTGATGAGATGGAGAGGTGGCTCTGATGCCTAGCTAAATGGTAACGAGCTGGAGAGGTGGCTCTGATGCCTAACTAAATGGTGAAGAGCTGGAGAGGTGGCTTTGATGCCTAACTGATTGATGACGAGCTGGAGAGGTGGCTCTGATGTCTAGCTGAGTGGTGACAAGCTGGAGAGGTGGCTTTGATGCGACCTGCAAGGATACAGTGTCAAAGTGCCCGGGTTGCTTTACCCTGGGTGGGCACTCCGATGCTTAAGTTAGCGAATAAGAGATTTTAAGATAGCTAAATGTGAGAGAGCTGGAGAGCTGCGAGAACTAAATTGCACATCTCCCCCTTGGAGTTGGAGGTAAGGCCTTTATATAGGCATTGTTTGGCGTGAGCATCACGCAACACGTTTGGGATCTCCGGGAGGACATGCCTAACTGCTCTGAAGTCCTCGGAGGTAGTCGTGCACATAGGCCAATCTTTGCGCCTTACTCGGTTTCTCCCAAAACATTCGGTGTGAGAGCTGATTTCCGAGAGACCCAGGAGTGATGGGATGCATGTAGAAATCGACGACAAGCACGTCTCGTAGGTCACCACTTGGACCTCAATCAGGTTGGCAAGCCCTCGAGGGAGGTCGCTTCAACCGATACTGACGAGGTACCACAGATCGGCCCTGGACGAGGTGCTGCTAGCTGCCCTGAGTCGTGGATGAGGTCACTGGCTAGGTTTCTACTAGGTTGGGGGTGGAGGCAGGTTGCCAGGTCAGCAACAGGGGCAGGTTGCCAAGTCGGCGCTAGAGGTAGGTCGCCAAGTCGGCGGTGGAGGCAGGTTGCCAAGTCGGCAACAAGGGCAGGTCGCCAGGTCGGCACTAGAGGCAAGTCGCCAGGTTGACACCAGAGGCAGGTCGCCAGTTCGGCGTCAAAGGCAGGTCGCTAGCTAGGACTCCATCATTTTGGCTAAGGCAAGTTGTCGCCTAGGTGATTCTGGGTGTCACCCAGTTGTTTCGAGATGCCATGTGTCATGATGTTAGTGGAGGGTCAAATCTGCCCTCATCACCAAGATATATATAAAACAATATATTATATCTTAATATTAATATTATAATATATAACGTTATATATTAATTAATATATATTATAATAATTTTCTAAATTCCACCCTAATAGAATGACACAAACCATAATGTATATGCCATTAATAATAACAACTATTTGTTAGAATTCATGTAACAATAACAAGTAATCAAAGGCGAGCTATCCCCATTGTGTAGCATCATGAATCAAATAAAAATGATGCAAGTAATAGAAGTACGGTGTGATGGTGAGTTTCTTGGTTTTAAATTTTGTATTTCATTTCCATTATTAACTAAAGTACTTTTAATTTATCATACTTGTTTTTGTTTGGTGTGATGAACTTATTATATTAGAGATGTTCCTAATTTTTTTTCTGTATTTTTTATTATTTTTATGCTTTTATCTATTCCTTGATAACGTCTTTTATTATTTAATTATTTAATTATGGCATTAAAGGTTGAACTATTTTACCCAAATGATTGAACTGCTTAATCTCCACCCAAATAAATAAATGGTCATATTTCTAAGTTAGTTTAAAAACATAGGTGTAGGTGGGGAGGTAACGCAACATAGGGAGGTCTACAAAAGATGATAGATGGCTTTGAGAGGAGGAAAGGGGGGAAGAAAAGGTTACAAAGAGTTTTAATGGAGGTTGTAAGGGAGATCGAGAGCATAGTTCGATAGAGCTTATGTAAGGGTGTATAAGATATGTCAAGAGGGCTTTGGGCCTCCTCCATTTATAGAGGAAGTCACTTAGTAGAATAGGAAATCAAGTAATAGAAGAGGGAATCCAAGGTGGGAAAGTTTGTTATTTGATTAGATCTAAGACAAAAGGGGAACAGGTAGGGTTTCACCACATGTCACTATGGATACTAGGGCCTAGGTTTCTACCATTCTCTTTAGAATCCACAAGTAAGCACAAGCTTAACTACAACCATGCTTCTAGAAGCCCCCCATGCCTTAGATGCTTTTGTTGAAATATTCATGCCTTTTGTGTCATTGTAGCGCATAGGTTGTCGTGATGATTGCGGAATTGCATAACAATAGCGATGCTTTGTAGTAAACTCTATTTGTGTTTTGCATTGTAACACCAATTCAATACATTATCATAACAAGTGTTATTATTTGTTGTGGTTTAAGAACCAAGTGGGATTGCACTGTGTGGATTTTTAGACTATGCTATAACTATACTTGGTGTTCCTCAACATA